CCTTCCTTCCTTCCTTCCTTCCTTCTTCCTTCCTTCCTTCCTTCCTTCCTTCCTTCCTTCCCCTCCCCTCCCCTCCCCTCCCCTCCCCTCCTTCTCCTGCAGTTTTTCCCCCAAAGGTGCTAGTATCACTTAGTAACAATGAGTTGAAAAAAATGAAATAGGCAATTTGCAGCCAAAACCCATTCATAATTACTCTGCTTTGTGCACTAGGAATTGCTAGAATGAGTCTTAGAGAGTCACTGAAAAACTCACACAAGGTGAAGAGCAATAAAGATAATTCTGTGTATTCTATTTTGATTATAAGGTTGGAAGAAATAATAGCTGCAACAACAACAACGCCTTCCCATCTAAACAGGGATGAAGTAGCAAATTTGTTTCTCAAAAGCAATTTCTCTCTGCTCGATTTCTTTGGCAGACTTTGACATTTTTTGTTCACTTCTTTTCCTTTTTTTCTTTCCTGAGGCTGAAAATTGCCTTGTGGTCTCTATAAAGGAAGACTCTGACACCCAGTGCGGTAGCTAAAATTATGCTTGATGAGTAAGTATTGCCCTTAATGAAAGAAAAATGAAACTAGCACATGTTTAATGATTTCTCCATGACCATGAGGCTAGAAATAGGCATCTTCTCTTTTGTTTTTGAAATACATTAAAACGAAGGTTTTCAGAAATTCACACAAGCAGATGTGTTCTACCTACCACAGTGTAAGAATCACTTCCCAGATTCTCATTGTCTCTGCTGGCATTTCATACATCCTTTCATTTGCTATGGCCATCTTGATTGCCCAGTTGCCAAGTTTTCTTACTATCAATTCTGTTTACCCCCCATCCCAAGAGCTCTGTTTCCATCTCACCCGGTCCCAATCCCACTTGCCGTGTGCCCATCCCATTACCGGTAGAGGTCCCACTGCTGGAGTTCAGACTATGAGAGGGGAGCTGGGAGGGCGTGTATGAATCATAACTTCGCACCGATGGGCTGCCAGGAATCATGCAGGAATAAGGCGATGTCTGGCTGGCAACAGGGGGCACTGCCTGCTAATGAGTGCCAAAGGATATGCAACAGGGAAAGAAAAAAAAGGATATTAATGTTTCTGGTGAATCAGCATTGGTCATCTGCAACCCCCACCTGGCGCTATTCAAGAATTGTCTAGTTCCTTTTAAGCTCACCTGAATAGGGAGGCTGTTGTTGGCCATGGAGAAGGGGGGTAAAGGTGGGAGAGAACCATAGCTGTTGCTGAGGACACTTTCCGAATGGCCCAACATTGCACCTGGAAAAGAGAAGAGAGATGCGATTGAGGAGAATGGTGCATCAAGGCAGCAAATTAAGAAACAGTCCAAGAACTGTTCAGTAGAATGAGGAGGTGTGTTCTTAAAAGTCACCCAGTTGGCTATCAGTTTTGGCAATGAGTGAATAGCAGGGATTACTATGGAAACAGTGATCCTTTAAGTCCAACATCTAAATATACCTAATGGCACCAATGTTTCCAAAGGGTACATGGTACCTTGCTGACTTATGCCTCTTAGGAAGACCCCGGGAATAGGTGGGGAATGAATGAGCTGGTTGGGGACAGGGCCCTCACCTGACCCTATAGGCTGGGGGAGTGACTGGTAGACAGCACTGCCCACAGCGCCAAAACTGCTGTTTATGATCAGATGCCCCCCAGTGCCACCTGCTTGGCGCCTCTGGCTCCGCAGTTTCTCTTCCCGACGCCATTTAGCTCGACGGTTGGAGAACCAGACCTGGAAAAATAAGGAAAGGGACTATATTGCCCAAGAGAACCGGGAAAGTAATGGTAGATAGCCATTGCCCATTTGTTTCTTGGTAAACTTGGTAAAAGGGCATCTCATTTACCTGGATCCGGGCTTCAGGGAGATCAATTTTTGCTGCCAAGCGTTCACGGGCAAAGACATCAGGGTAATGAGTACGCTCAAATTCTGAAGGAGATTTAAGTAGGCAGGTGTCAAAATGTTGAAGAGAGATCTTCCTCTTTACCCAACACTTACAGTTCTTAATAAAGTAATATTTTCAAGCACTCACACTCTAGAAGACACCTTACGGGTGCACACTTCCCCTTGTCATTTTGATACTTGGATTCCAAAGTACAGTTGTTTCATATGCAATTCTCCTTTCCTTTTAGTTCTCTTATAGTAACCAGCAGTAGAATATGTATTAAAAAGTTAGTCTTCCTTCAATATTAGGCTATCATCTGGTCACCCCAGCTTTCAGACTTCCACTGGAATTCAACAAGACTGCAAATGTTATGTCCAGTGCTACCCATTTACTGTCCACCATCTGTTCCAGTGTTTTTCAAACTGGGCAACTTTAAGACGTGTGGACTTCAACTCCCAGAAATCCCCCGGCTGGGGGATTCTGGGAGTTGAAGGCCACACGTCCTAAAAGTGTCCCGTTTGGAAAACACCGGAACAGATGGT